GACTTTTAGGATTAGAGTTGAGGATTAGAGTTAAGCAGCATTAAAACGTCACCATAAACTCATTTCTGTCTTAAGTAAGTGTCATTCATTTATGTTATTTAAGCAGCTTCTTTATTTTCTCAGTTGTCTTTTTGCACATTTAATATATTATATACACACATATATAATGTGTGTGGCGGCCTGGGAAAACCCTTCACATTTTCTACTGTATCTAGCTCTACAGATTTTTTGTCTCTTCACTCGCTTGATCTCTGTTCACACTGACATCAGTGGGGAAGTAATCGCTGATTAATTCAATCAGTTCTGATCTGTTGGTTAAATTTCTTGTTCCTGTCTTTTTATCCTTGTCTATTTTGGCTAAACTTTTACTTTGTTTGCTATTGTCTGATCCTATTTGTTATTTTCAAGTGTTGTAAAACTTCAGTGAAAAGCTGGTTGATATCAGATGATAGCTGATAATGAAGCAAGGAATACCAACCTCCATCAAGACAAATTCTACGATGTCAGACCTGTTACTGTACAATGTATAAAATGTTTCTATGTACAAGAACAAAATAGATCTCGTGAGCTTTTACGTCGTAATTCTTCAAACAGCAGTACAAATCTCTTTACATAATATAGAGAACAATCCTGGTCATTTGAAAAGTATTAATAAAATAAAATTAAGTGTAAACACAAAATAAATAATAAAAAAAACATAATTTATGGCCCCAAATATAAAGGACATGAAATCATCCAAAACAGTTTATGTTCCACCTTTCATTGCAACATAAGCAAGAATTTTAAAATAACACATTTTGCAGAAATCTATTCAATAAAAAACAACTATATTAAAGTTGCACAAGACCGAAACCACACATTATCATCTTATAATTATATTACTCTTCTGATATATCTTGCACTGTATTAACATGCCTTTGGTGAAGACTTTTGCTTAGTTGCATATCACTCCTTTTGCACTATACTGGGATTGTAAATTACTCTGAAAATAGCATGGTACATGTATTACCATTTGTGACTAAAAATCATTAAAAAATAAATAAATGAAGTTATGTGGTTAAATCAAGTTTCTTGTGGGAAAACTTTAAAATTTTATTGTTAGACAGTCTCAAAAAACCCAAACCTGACTGGTTAGAGCTCACATCCTTTTGAAGGAATAATGAAAGATGTGGTGGTATAAATTGGATTAGCCCTTATGTATTGTTTTTTTTTTTAATTAACATACTTATTATGACAAGATGGATGGAAGTTGCATAGAGTCAGGACGTGATCTGGGTATGGAGGAAGAGTTACGTGGTGGGGGAAATGAAAGAAACAAGAATAGTAAGTAGACTTTAGTAGAAAAGCACAAAAGAAACAAAGATTGGATAGAAAAATGCAGTGAAGTAGTTAAAATCAGAAAATAGAGCATTAAGGAAAGTAAAGAAATCATATTCCTTTGATGAGTTTATAATATATAAGAGAACCCAGGCAGTTGTTAGAAGAGTAATAAGGGTAACTAAAAGAAATTACGGAGACTATTTTGTGATGAAATAGGTGACAGTACAGATATTAGCCAAATGTGGGGTACAATTAGGATGATGGGAGGGATGAGGGTAAATATATCATGTCTAACAGTGAAAAGGCATAGGTACACAATAACAATATCAGAAAATATGAGGGTACAAAGAGAACAAATTTTGAAAGAGAATCCAGACAAAAATATGCTATGAAATAATAAAACATCTATCAGATTGTAGGACTTCTCTTGGTTGGGAATGAAGAAGGGCGAGGCAGGCTTGGGATAAGTCAAAAAGCTTTATTCACAACTTTAATTTTGCTTTTCAGCATTTGAATCTTAGACATGCACACATACACACATGGCTCTGTGCTGGTCAGCTCTCTTTCTCCTGAGACGCTCGTCTCTCTCCTTTTTATCCTCGCTGCCACTCACTGAAACACAGAACACCCATTAGTACGATTCCCCGCAGGTGTGCATTCCTTACCACTTACCTTCTCTGGCACAAACCGACGCTCGAGCATATCCCTGCTTCCACATACCCCCACTGCCTGACTCAGCCTGCTGCCGACTCCTCCGCCCAAGAGAAGAAATCTGCCACAGCCATCTGCTCCCCCCCGGCCTGTGGACCACCTCGAACTTAAATGGCTGATACCAATGGGTGATCCACGCATTGGCATCTTTCATGTGTTGGAGCCATTAGGGCAGGGCGTGATCTGAACAGAGGGCGAAGGCCCATCCCAACAGATAGTACCGAAGGGGGAGGACCGACCATTTGAGGGCCAGACACTCCTTCTCTATCGTGCTGTACTTAGTCTCTCGCATATAGAGCTTGCGACTGATGTACAGCAAGGGGCACTCCTTCTCCTCCACCACCTGGGACAACACAGCCCCCAACCCCCTGTCCAAACCCTTTAGAGCTGGACATGGGTAGTAAAACAAGCACTTTATCTCCCAGTATGAGCTCCCATAGCCGAGTCCCCCGTTATACTGCTGGGACTGACGTTCTTGCACCTGACGCAAATTCTCCTGTGTTAGATGGCTTAAGGTGTGGAGTTCTGCTCTCAGGTCAAGAACGTATTGAATTTCATTTTTACTGTTAGAAAGCCCCTCCTCCCAATTTTTCTGAATGATGTTGAGGGGCTTCCGCCCATACAATAATTCAAATGGGGAAACCTCTCGTACTGCAAATAACAGGGGATCTAGCCACTTATCCCAATTCCATGCATTGTCATGAATGAACTTATGAATCATGTTTTTAAGTGTTCGATTGAACTGTTCGACTAGCCCATCCGTCTGTGGATGATCGGTTAGTATCTCTTACGGGATTCCAACTCTGACAGGCTGTAACCAGACTTCAATTCACCAATGCCTGGTTCAAGGTGAGGCATTGGAGAATACACGTGCGGTGAAGGTGAGGTGTGTGCATGTGGATGTACAAGAATATCCACTGGGGCCTGTCATCATCAAATTCTGGGGGCAAAAACACATAGGGGAGGTGGCAGTTAGTCCTCGCCTCACCCATCCACTGGGGACAAATTGGCCAGGGTTCCAAAAATTAGCGAAAGAAATGTTTGTGGATGGGTCCTGCAGTAGTGAGAGACAGTATGGAATGTGCGCAGCATTGGTTGGGGAGGCGGTGCCGGGGCTGTCGATGTCAGCTCCATGTCAGGGGGACACAGAGGGGGAGGGCCCTGCTCCTCCCCTCTTGGCAGGGATTTCCCCTTGGAGCAGTCACGTGATGAGACCCTGAGGCATGCCTTTGACCAAGTGAGAGTAATCGATGGTCAGCAAATTCAGCCTAATGTTGCACTCTCCCACCCCTATTTTTCAATTATTAAGGATAGGTTGTACCGAGTGATGCAGAACACTCAAACGCAGGAAGAAACGACCAGTTTTAAGTCCCAAAAAGCCAAGCGGCTCATCGTAATCCCAGGGTTGGGCATTTAGGCCAGGATAAGACACTGAACCTTCTAATGGCTCTTTTTATTGGCTGAGCATTCGCAGCAATGTTTGCAGGTGGTGTTGCAGCATGTCGCGGATGTCAGCTGGTAAATCCACCCCAAAAGCGCCATTGCACTCACTCCCCTTAATCGAGGTCCCCTTCGAATGAATTGGCATGGACCTCATCAGGCCATTTGATCGGACTGCATGAGAGCATTGCTATGTGTTATTTCTAATGGACTACACAATGCGATATCTGGAAGCAGTGCCTCTGCGCAACATCTCCGCATGCGGCGTTGCAGAGAAGTGTGGAGACGTTGCACACGCAGTGTTGCGGAGGGATCTTCCTGTTAACTCCCGGGTCGGGACCCTGATAGAGATCCTGACTGACCAGGGCACGCCTTTCATGTCACAAACACTATGCAAGCTTTACGAATTGTTGGGAATTAAATCGATTCATACCAGCATTTAACCATCCAGAGGGATGGGCTGGTCGAACAGTTTAATCAGACCCTTAAAAACATGATTCGTAATTTCATTCATGACTATGCACAGAATTGGGATAAGTGGCTAGAGCCCCTGTTATTTGTAGGTCCCGCAAGCCTCCATGGGGTTTTCCCTGTTTGAATTATTGTATGGGCAGAATCCTCACGGCATCCTTGATGTCATTCGGCACAACTGGGAGGAAGGACCTTCTAACAATAAAAGTTAAATTCAATATGTTCTTGACCTGAGAGCAAAACTCCACACCTTGAGTCACATAACACAGGAGAATTTGCGTTAGGCGCAAGAACTTCAGTCCCAGCCGTATAACAGGGGTACTCGGCTACGGGAGTTCACGCAGGGAGACAAAGTACTCATTTTACTACCCACTTCAAGCTCTAACTTACTCACCAAGTGGCAAGGACCCTTTGAGTTCACACGGCGAGTCAGCGGGTCGGGAAGGAGCGTCCCATCCTGTACATCAGCCGCAAGCTTTCTTTGCGAGAGACTAAGTATGATAGAGAAGAAGTGTCTGGCCATCAAATGGATGGTCCTCCCCCTCCGGTACTACCCGTTGGGACGGGCCTTCACCCTATGTTTGGACCACAACCCGCTCCAGTGGCTCCACTGCATGAAAGATGCCAACGCACGTATCACCTGTTAGTATCTGGCACTTCAACCTGTGTCGGGTGGTGGGGGTATGTGGAAACGGAGCCGTGGTCACATGCTGGTTTTTGAGTGGAGGGCGGAGCCAGAGAAGGTGAGTGGTAAGGGTTGCACACCTGAGAGGAATTGTACTAACAAGGGTTCTGTATTGCAGTGAACTGTGGCAAGGATAAACATGGGAGAGACGAGCGCCTCGGGAGAGAAAGCCAACCAGCACAGAGCCGTGTGTGCGCGTGTGTGTGTGTGTGTATGCGTGTGATATATAACCACTGAAAAGTGAAAGTAAAAAATAAAGAATACAGCACCTTTTGAATTGTTTCAAGCCTGCCTCCCTTATCCTCCTTCTCGTCCTGACCAGAGCAAGTGTCACAAGCTCATTTAAATTATATTGTAGAAAGAAAGAGCTTATTGTGGCCAGGAATTGAACCCAGGCCGCAATGGTGAGAGCACTGTGGCCTAACCACTAGTCCTCCATGGACCCCAACTTGACATTCATTAAATGGAGTAATTCATTAAAAAGAGTATATTGTGCAATGATAGAACCAATCATAGATTATGGCAGCATACCGTATAGCTCAGCATCAGTATCAGCGTTAAGGAAAATAAGTCGCATACAATCTCAAACCTTAAGAATAGGATGTGGGGCATTCAGAACATCTGTATCAGCGATACAGGTGGAAATGGCGGAGTTGCCTTTAGAAATCAGAAGACTTATATTAAAGATGGCGTATTGGTGTTCACTGAACACATAGTTAGTCATCCAGTCAAAAAAGTGTTAGAAAAATGCTGGGAATTTGAATATGTAAATTCAAGTACCTTTGCATGGAATGCCGATAAAGAAGCCAAGGAAATAGGTATTGACAGCATAAACATAAGTCCTACTGTGGTAATACCTGCAATGCCTCCTTGGCTGTTCTGAAGGACAATTGTAGATCTTCAGTTGCACTGTAAAATAAATAAAAAGGAAAGGAATATTTCTAAGGATATAATTGTGTCTTCTTCTTCCTCTTCTTCTTCTTCTTCTTCTTCTCGTGTCCAGCAGCAAAGTGATCTATGTGAGGTCCATCTATAATTTTAGGCAGTTCTTTCCAACATCATTATATTCTGCCAAGTATTACTTATGGCAAGGTAATTCCAACAGAGGGCATATCAGGAGGTGGTCCATGATTTGTTGGTCAGTCCCGGATTCACAGCTGGTATCTCCAGTGAAATAGCCCCATTTAGCTCTGCTGATGTTACATCTTCAAGTACATGATCTCAGGTGATTAAGACATTGCCACTCTCTCCATGTTGCATCAGTTCCTGATGGGAAGCTCTCGCCGACTGGTATCTCCATGGAGACTTCTGGGGGAGGCCTTGTATCCTGCCACAGCTATGTGCAACATATTAGTCATGATGGAATCTGCTGGCAGCACATGGTGGAGAAAGGCCTTCCTTGATATCAGCCTTCGTTCTGTTGGTTGGTGGTTAAAGAAGGGGTGTCTGTGATCGCTCAGTTGGCGGGCTCTCTCTCTTCTACTTACAACTGTTCTTCTCACATCCGGGGGAGCAATACCGGCCAGGACGTAGAGGCGGTCTATATTAGTAGCTCCAAGGCACCCTGTGTTCATTCTACAAGTACTGTTGAGGGCAGGGTCAAGTTTGGTGGGATGTGTTGATCTCTCCCATACAGGGCAGACATACTCTGCAGTAGAGTAACAGAGGGCTAGTACTGTAGTCTTTAGGGTCTGAGGGTGAGCGCCCCATGTAGTAGACACTAATTTACCAATGATGTTATTCCGAGCACACACTTTAGACTTGTTTTTTTTTATGTGCATTTCAAAGGACAGAGTTCTATCCAGGGTGACTCCGAGATACACAGGGAACTTGCAGGGCTGTAAAGGTACTCCATTCCAGCTTACTCTCAAGTGCCATTTGGTCTTGAGGTTCCTTAGCTGTGGCTTGTGTCTTATTGTATTTAGCGCATAAGTCGTTTTCCCCGTAATATGGCGTCATTTCATTAAAAGCATCAGTAAGGTGTTTCTCCACCACTTCAAACTCCTTGCCTTATGTAGCAATAGCTCAGTTGTCTGCATAAATGAACCTTGCTGTATTATTGCTCCTTGGTTGGCCATTTGTGTAGATGTTAAATAGGAGGGATGCCAGAACGCTTCCTTGAGGTAGGCCCTTCTTGAGTCTTCGCCATCTGCTCTTCTTGCCGCCCAGCTCGACAAAGAACATCCTGTTTTTGAGCATGCTCCCAAACAGTTCTCTCAGGTGGATATCTCTTGTCATGTCCAGGATATTCTGAAGTAAGCGCCTGTGGGTGCGTAAGCTGCGGAAAGATCAACAAAAACTGCACCTGTCACCATCCCGTTTTCATATCCATCTTCGATGTACTGTGTGAGGTTAAGGGTTTGGCTGGTAGTTGACTTTCCGGGTTGAAAACCTGCCTGTTCTGGGATAAGGCATTCATCATCACAGGTGCAAGGCGGTTCAGGAGGAGCGCTTGAGGTGTGACATAGCAGTGATATGGGTCTATAGCTCACGGGGTTATGTGGGTTCTTACCCAGCTTCAGTAAGGTAATAACATTTGCTTTCTTCCAGATTTTAGGTTAGTTCCTCGTTGCCAGGCAGTAGATGAACAATTCTAGAAGCCATCTTTACCTCTGGGCCAGTGTGTTTGATTTCCTCAGTTGCGATCTTGTCTAGGCCTGTGGCTTTCCAGCTCAGCCATGGTAAAGGGCTTTGTAAAACCAGGGTCATCATGGTATTTCTTTCTGTCCCGCTTGGTCTTTCCCTTCTGCCCTTTTCCTTATTTCCACATTTGCCATTCTGGAGCAGTAGGTTAGCAACCTCGTTGACATTCACTTTGGGTTGCTGGGGCACTACTCCAGGGTCACCACAGAGTAACTGTGTCACAGTACTTGAATCAAAAATATTATAACAGTATTCAAGTATACACTGACGGTGCAAAAAATCCTGATTCATCTTCAACCTTAGCAAGTTTAAACAGTGGGAAGTCAATATCTAGTCAAGACATATTATATGAAATTTTACAGAATCTGTATAGAATAAGTCAATTAGGAGACAGCTGAACATGTGCTTTTACATCGTGAGGCATATAATAGAGAAAGAATCCAGCTCATAGGAAAACTAAGAAATAGACGGAATTGTTAAAATGGAAGTTAACAATATAACATTAAAGAGTATACTTCAAAATTCAGTGACACAGGCAAAAGTGTATAAAGCTCTGTTAAAAAAAAATAGTAGGATTGAGTTTTGTTTTTCTCGTCTTCCATCTTGAGTTCACAGTCCATCCCAGTAGGTGGCGGAAATGCATTTAAGATGGTGTGTCAACCGCCATAAAACCCACAGAAGAAGAAGAGGACGACTACGCAGAAGAAGAAGACGTAGTTCTTCAGGTGTTTGTGTGCGTGTTCGCTGTGTTTGTTTAGTGTGCTAGTGTTTTTAGCGCGATAAAAAGAACCGCATTGGCGGGATTGTGGTCGCGTGAGATACTATGAGTGGGGACATGACGTAATGTCTGATGTCGCCATTTTGATTGTGAAGAGAGTTTAGTAACGTTTGCCTGTTAATACGATAATGTAATCAATTAAATGAACTTTGATGTTTGCTTGACACAGCTCGCTAAACAATGTCGAACGTGTTCGCTACGGTGTTGCAAGAAAGTTGGTATGGTATTCTAGGTGGTTGCTATAGTGTTGTTAGGCTGTTGGTTATTATTGTGTTGCTACAAAGTTGGTATGGTATCCTAGGTGGTTGCTCGAGTGTTGCTAGGCTGTTGCCAGGGTGTTGGTAGAAAGTTGGTATGGGATTCTAGGTGGTTGCTAGGGTGTTGCTAGAAATTTGGTATGGTATTCTAGGTGGTTGTTAGGGTGTTGCTAGGCTGTTGCCAGGGTGTTGGTAGAAAGTTTGTATGGTTTCTAGCTGGTTGCTAGAGTGTTGTTAGGGTGTTTTTTTAGAAAGTTGGTATGGTATTCTAGGTGGTTGCTAGAGTGTTGCTAGGGTGTGGCTAGTAAGTTTGTATGGTATCCTAGGTGGTTGCTAGAGTGTTGCTAGGCTGTTGTCAGGGTGTTGGTAGAAAGTTGGTATGGGATTCTAGGTGGTTGCTAGGGTGTTGCTAGAAAGATGGTATGTTGTTCTAGGTGGTTGCTAGAGTGTTGCTAGGGTGTTGCTAGAAAGTTGGTATGGTATTCTAGGTGGTTGCCAGGGTGTTGGTAGAAAGTTTTTATGGTGTTCTAGGTGGTTGCTAGAATGTTGGTAAGGTATTGCTAGAATGATGGTATGGTATTCTAGGTGGTTGCTAGGGTGTTGGTAGAAAGTTGGTATGGTATTCTAGGTGGTTGCTAGAGTGTTGCTAGGCCGTTTGGTATTAGGGTTGTCACCTTCAATGAGGAAAAATAAGGGACAGCTCATGGTTATTTATTTAGACAATTTCAAATTGCAAATTGATATATTTATAGAATGTAAACTACAGTACTTATGAATTATAAAAAAAAATCTTAACCTTCAGTCCAAGATCTCTGAGAATGAATGGAATATTATCACCATGGCCCCATATGGACAGGCCAGGTGTTGCTAGACGGTTGCCATGGTATCCCGGTTGGTTGCTAGAGTGTTGCTAGATGGTTGATATTAAATGTGGTTGCTTGGGTGTTGCTCGGTGACTGCTAAGGTATTCCAGTGGTTTCCTAGCATGTTGCCCACTTGCTATGATATTGCAGATGCTTTCTATGGTGTTGCCAGGTGGCCGCTATGCTAACCTGTTTGGTTGTTATGATATTGCAGGTGCTTTCTATGGTGTTGGTAGGTGGTTGCTATATTAACCTAGTTGGTTGCTAGAGTGTTGCTAGGTGGTTCTCATGATATGTCAGCTGTTCCAACCTTAATTCTGATCTTTCCCAAAAGCACAAGCACACTATTCGTATAGTATAATTCCTATATAATTTTGTGGATCTATGTCAAAAAATTG